CCACATCGAAGCGGGCCACCAGCCACATGGCCAGTGGCTACCCGTCTGCGCAACATGGAGAACGCTCCCCATCATACCAGGTCTAGTGGCAGTGCTAGAGCGGGAGGACGCTGACATGACTCCAGGCAGCCAGAAGCAGTCGCAGGGCCTGGCGCACATGTGAGGAACATTGTCCTAACCGGAACCGCCTCACGCCAGGTGCAGGCGGCCCACTCAGCAGAACACACTGAGCATGGGAGGCGGGATCTCAATGGCCCGAGTCTGTGCCTATCAGGCCTGGACCAGCAGCTCCCTCCAGAGCAGGAGCTGGGAATGGCTGTCCCCAGGGGCAGAGTCCTCTTGTGCCACTGAGTTGGGTGGGTGAGGGATGATGAGAGGGGGGAAGGGGAACAGGTGCCCATTTGGGAGAGCACGGACCAGCAACTCGCTGAAGAGGCAGACTTTGCACCTCTGGGCCATGGGGACTCTTGGTGGTCTGCTCTAACCAGAACGGTCTGAAGCCCACACTATTCTCCAGGGCAGGGCCTCATCAGAGGGTTAGGGGTGTAATTTTTTTTTTTTTAAGTTTATTTTATTCATGTGTGTGTGCATGAGAGAAAGAGAGAAAGAGAGAGAGAGAGAAAGATGGGCACTTCCAGCAGGACCTAATCCTGCCATGATTCCCTTTTCTCCGCGCTGCAGCTTGCCAGGATCCTGGGAGCATGAGCCTAGTGTGTTTCCAGGCCTGCCAAGGCTCGGAACCTGCAGCAGGCAATGTGGCTGTCTGCTACTGCCTGTACCACCGAAGCTCGGCCCCCAGCTGTCATTTGATGCGTCAGGTTATCTTGTTCCACCTTTTCTGGGGAAGCCACCCTCATTTCTCTTGGGGACTGTCCTCTCCCGCTTTGTTGGTGACCCCACCTCCAGGTGCAAGGGTGCAGTTGTCATGGTCACTCCAGCATCGCAGTTTCTGGCCTGAGTGGCAGGTTCAGGTCTGTCCTCAGGACACTGCCAGGGCCACTGGGAACAGAGGATGCCTTTGGGAAAGGGACTGCTGTGTTCGGCTGCTGGACAAGACAGAAAGCAGCTGCCACAAGGAGGCTGGCTGGGATTGAAACAGCAGTGATGGGAAGCCTTACATTCACTGCACGCTGTGGGCAAGGGAGGCCTGAGGCCGGTTCTAGACCCCAGGACCCCTTCCTCTCCCTCTGCCTGAAGCCAACATTGTCATCCTCATTTCTCAGACAAGCTGGGATTTAGGGGGAGCTGCTCCGATTTCAGCGCCTGCACTGCTGGCCCCATGCCCAGTCAAGCACGTGGCCTGCCCTACAAACTTGACCACTCATCAAGGAGCGGTATCCTACCTTCATTGACGCCCTGCAGGACCTGGACAATGCCCTTCCATGTGCTTCCTCTTCTCCACCTTCCTGCCGACCGCCAAGTGCCACGTGCACGCCATCCAGCCGTGCCACCAGCTCTCCATGGAGTTCATGCACTATGTCATCACCAGGGGCCTGCGCAAGGTCTTCCTGTCCATCAAAGGCGTTTACTACCAGGTGGAGGTGCAGGGGCAGCCCATCATGCGGATCACCCCCTACGCCTTCTCCCACGACCACTCAACAGACGTGGACTAAAGGGTCATGGCCACCTTTACTGAGTTCTACCCCACCCTGCTGTGCTTCGTCAACTTCCGCCTGTACCAGTCACCAAACCTCCACTACTCCACAAGCTCAAGGGTCAGACCCAAACAGAGGAAAAGGCCAGCGAGGGGTCCTGTGTGCTGGACATTGAGAGGCCCTCGGTGCCAGCCTGGCCTGAGCGATGGTGCCTGCCACGGAGGAGGAGGAGGCCGAGGCAGGTGAGTATCCGGCGGATCAGGAGATGGTGGTGCAGGAGGGGGACCACAGGGAGGAGCTGGAGGTGCAGGAAAAGCACAAGAAGCTGTCTGAGGGCAAAAATCTCTCTTAAAACCCCCCATAAAAACAGAAGAGGGATTCTGGGCTGTCCTGTGACACTACTGCTAACAGGCCCGAAACAGGCCCATGCAGAAGAACAAAGATGTCAGGCGGGGCGGGGGGGGGGGGACCCCAGGCATCTCTCGCCTGCTCTGAGGCTTGCTTGTGGTCACTCTGCGGGGGAGCTTTGTCAGGGCTCCCTAGTTACCACAGAAATCATTAGCAAACGGAGCTGCCCCAGGCCACTGGGCAAGGCTCCCCTTCCTCCAGCTTCCAGGATTCCTTTCCTGTGTATAGTAGGTATTGATGCAGTACCCTTCTGTTATCCCATGAAGAAGCCACCTTGAAGCAAACAGACCAGGCGTCCCACCTGCCCGCGGCTAACCCAGGCACTGACAGGTCTGCGGAGGCGCCCTGCCTTTTGGACTGTAGTCTGGCTTTTTGTTTGTTTGTTTCTCTCCTCTTAACTTAGCATTGATTTATTTGCCCTGTGGTTTGTTTAGAATGATACATGGGAACTTTAAGAAGTTTATGAAAAAAATGAATGAAAGTATAGGCTTATTTTGGCACAAAAACATTCTGAAATCCATGCCTTTTTTTTTTTTTTTTGTTATTTGTAATATCATTTCCATAAACTTCTTGAAGAGCCTGCTTTCCAGGTTTTGTTATTGCTGTTTAGCTAAGCGACACTGCGGGCAGAGAGCGGACTCTGTTATAACGGCAGTCCTCAGCCCATTGCCAGTTTTCATCTGGGGTGGGAAGGAAGCGCACCCTGCAATCATTGGGTAAGCGTTCTGTACGCGTGCATGGCATCGAGTCTGCTGACCCTGTTCTCCCAGTTCTCTTCCCCTCTTACTTTCCCCTGCCTGTTCACCAGTCATGTTCCAGCCTCCCCCTCCAAGTGTGGATCTGTCTCCGTCTCCTTTTACTTCTGTCAGGTTTTGCTTTGTACGTGTTGTAACTGTATTTATTTATATATTTATCTAACAACTTTTGAAAAAATTTACTGCTTTTGTGAAAGAAACAGAGAAATAGACCACAGGATCTCACCCCTGTCCCAGACCTTTCTGGTCAGCCAGGATCACCGGCGTGTAAGTGCGTGCCTTGTGTGTACGGGCTGACGTGGAAATCGAAGCCTGATCACCCACGTGGATTCCTGCATTGCATAGCGTTGCACTACCCCTGTGCCGCCTTGGCTGGGCCCACACGAGTGTTCATCACTGTCCTCACTCGGAGTGAGTCTGGATTCTATTATCTGCATCAGTTGATAAGAAGGAACTGCATAATCTTCCTAATGTGCAAAAGGCTCTGAATTCTAACAGACGTTTCACACGTGTCAGCGAGGACCTGTAGCATATCACTTCGTGTTCGCTCCCTGTAATAGATGCGAGTCTCTCCCCACTGGTGTACAGAGACTTCTTCCAGACTGCCTGTGCTGACCCCATGTAACTGAGCACTTACTCAACCGTTAGCACTGGGCATCTGAGAAGCCTGAAGAATACATCCCTGCACGGGTTGGGTTGTTGGAAAAGTCATGACACAATTTTGCACAGAAGAACACAAAGATGGCATGATTTTCTTTCTTTCTTTTTTTTTTTTTTTAGAGGTTTTTGCTATAGGGCACGTGCGCTCGCCAGACAGGCAGAGAGAGAGACAGAGAGACAGAAAGCGAGAAATCGTCCCCCAGGGGGGATGGTCATGCCGCAATCCCTTCTCCTCCATTCTCCTCTCAGGATCTTGGGCATGCACGCACATGCGCCTGGTGTGAGTTTTAAGCCACCGGGTCCAGGACGTGAACCAGGGTCGACTACGTGGGAGTCCAGCGACATAGCCATTATGCTAACTGCTGGTCCCAAGATGGCATGACTTTTCTGACGACCCAGGATCTGCACCATGAGATGAAAACGTGCGCTTCACTTGTCACCTGCAGACGGGGGCTTTTGTTGTGGATCTCGTCCAAGACTAGATTCTGGACTCACAGACTGCACCTA